GGCCGTGGAACTAAACTTGCTACAAGCCGGTTCGCGGTACCGGCGGTCGACATCTCCAGGCGCGCTTATCGCGTGTCGGTGTCGACCGCCGTCGATTGGCGATTGACAGAGAGAATAGACGGCGCGGATTTCCGAGCACAGGCCGTTTGAATTCAAACGGCTATTACGCGGGACCGCGTCAGACCATATATCATTACATAATCATACCAATTTGTATTCATAGATCTCATGTACTTACTGATGTTTATTTTTCTATAAATATTTCTAATTACCTAGTCTTTAAATTAATTTGTTTTAGTTGTTTGARTTTATGWTTTACTATGACTATGTTAATTTTTCTATAAATATTTCTAATTACCTAGTCTTTAAATTAATTTGTTTTAGTTGTTTGAGTTTATGATTTACTATGACTATGTTAATTTTTCTATAAATATTTCTAATTACCAAGTCTTTAAATTAATTTGTTTTAGTTGTTTGAGTTAGACAAAATGCATTCGTTCTCCACCACCACYAAAAATCTCCACAAAGAGATGAAAACATGGTGCACCGAGCTGAAAGGGAAGTTGATGCAAGCGCTTGATAAAAGCWAAGTTCTCAAGCCTTACGTGGACAAAGCTGGCGACAGGATAATGGACCTCTCTTCCTCTCTGCTGGAAGCGAGCATACAGCCAATCCCACCAATCGTTGAAAAAATGAATAAGGCGACCAACACCAAGCCAGAGACTTCAGTACTGGTGTCGAGGAGCGACAGCTCCACGGCTAGACGTTATACCAATGAACAAAAGAAGGCGCACCCGAGCAACCAGCAAGCAGWGCGAGAACCACTTCGGGAGGGGAAAAAGAAGAAAGCGAAGATGAAGGGTGAAGGCATCCGCCACAGACAAGTCACGACAGAGGACACAGGACATAACGAAAGAAGATACCGGACTCAAAATCCCTAAAAGAAGACCAACAACGAAGCTGTAGTCGTTTGCCCTTCCGGGGCAACAACCTACGCCGAAATTGCAAAGAAGCTGAAGACAACCATAAACGTAAACACGCTAAACGTTAACATTAAAGATATAAAGAAAGCGAAGTCAGGAGACCTCATCATCCAGATAGACAAGGGCCCCAAACAAGAAGAAGCAGCAGCTAGGCTAAAGGAGGCGGTCATTCATACGTTAGGAGCTGACGCAGTGGTGAAGCACTCACCCAAGACCGAAATAATAGAAGTACGAGACCTGGAATCAGAAACAACGATAGAAGAGGTTACACAGGCGGTCGTTAACACCACGAGTACCACACCAGATTCGGTGAAGGTAATCAGAATGCTTCCCTCATACGGAAGCAACAAGATGGCGGTGATCAAAATGAAGTGCAAAGACGCATATACACTACAAAACTTAGGCCGCCTAATTGTAGGACTTGTGCGATGCCGAGTGAAGCTGAAAACCCAGATTGCAAGATGCTACAGATGCCACAACTTCGGTCACTACAGAGCTACATGTAGAGGAACCGACCGAACGGCCCAGTGCATGACATGTGGCCAAGAAAATCACAAGGCGAAGGATTGCAAAACTCCACCAAGATGCGTACTCTGCGAGGAATCCGGGTACGAGACAAACCACTACCCAGGCAGCCAAGTGTGCAGAAAATTCAAAGAGGCGAAGAAAAAAGACATAAATTAACCTAGTTAAGTAAACTGTTTTCTTTGTAAGCCAAAGGCAACCAAAAGAGGAGTAGTCGGAGGCTAAGAACTCAACTGTTGAAACCGGTACAGACACGCCATGCTGGTGGGTGAACGCGTCTGTGTGCGGCCATGGGACAGTTCACTCCACGACTACACAGGAACCGTTAGTGAAGGCCAAGCCACCTATGAAAGGCAAACAACAAAGGCYTAGCACTGATGCGGAGGATAGGGCAACTACATCCACAGAACAAGAGGCCGACTTCACAGTGGTACAGAGCAGGAGTACTGCGAGAAGGGCTAAGCCGGACGCCSTGGCGATCAAGGAGGAACTCAAGGTACCACCAATCAAGGCAGGCAGTGGCAAGCGGAGGCACCCTCCCAGAACGCAGGCGGTAGTCTTGGATAAGCCGGTGAATCTCTCTTACGCCGATGCAGTGAAGGAAGTCAAAGATGCTGTTCTCAAGGAGCCTTTCCAGTCCATGATCTCCACTAGGAGAGCCAAGTCTGGTAATCTAGTACTGGAAACGAGCACAAAGGAGCATGCCGATATGATCTTGCTAGGGCGCTCAAGCGCCAGCTTGGCGAAACGAGGAGCATTAGACGTCCTTCTCCGAGTGTCGCACTGCTGCTCATCAACATAGAGGACTCGGTCGATGAAAAGGAGTTGATTAAAACCCTGACGGAACACGATTCTGAGCTGAAAGTATCCAACGACCTCAAGATCCGAGAGGGTAAGAACGGAGTCCAAACGGCGATAGCYAGAGTCCCACTGAGCCCAGGGCTCAAGCTAGCTCGACTGAAAAAGTTGAGGGTGGGCTGGGCCACGTGCCGCATCAAGGAGCTGGCATCTAAGCGAGACTGTGCAAAGTGCTCTGCCGCTGGCCACGCAACCAGCGAGTGCAAGGGTGAAGAGACAAGAAAATGCTTCGGATGCAAGGCGGTGGGCCATCTTATTGCTACATGCACACTCCTCCGCCGGAGCGAGAAGTTCGGAGATTCGGACCAAGACCAGCGCACGGAGGCGCCGGCTAAGCCATTAAAGTCCCAGTTATGCCGGTAACAGCAAACTCGGGCCCAGTGATTAAGGTCTTGCAGGTAAACCTTAACCACTGTTGGGCGGCGCAACAACTCCTGCAAACAATAGCGGAACTCAACATTGACGTAGTCATAGTCAGCGACTACAACCGCCCGTTAGGTCAGACGCCGCGATGGGTTGCCAGCTCGGATCATGGCGCTGGTGGCGGCTTCGCATGGGCTAAGGTGAGGGGCAAGCTATTCTTTAGCTGCTACTACACGCCCAACTGTACGATCCAGGAGTTCGATCGATTCCTCAGCAAACTCGAGGCGTCGATCCAGCACAACACAGGTGTGGGGAGTGACGTCATTGTTGACGGGGATTTCAACTCTCACTCTGCAGAATGGGGCTCCTCAACGGAGGACGCAAGAGGATCACTACTGTCTGGCTTCATCTCGGCACTGGATCTCACAGTTTGTAACGTGGGCTCCGTCCCCACATTCAGGCGGGTCAACGCCACGTCCGTAATTGATGTCACCTTTGCGCGATCAAATCTTGAAGTGACATGCGGTGTTCCACAAGGGTCGGTCCTTGGGCCGACATTGTGAAACCTATTTTACGACGGAATCCTACGCCTACCGGTGCACAGAGATGCAAAAATTATAGCTTTCGCCGACGATGTGGCTATAGTTGCTGTAGCCCATAAAGCAGAGCTAATGGAGCAACTGGTTAATCCAATCCTCTCGGACGTTGTCAGATGGATGTCCGACAACGGATTAAGACTTGCCCCTGAGAAATCGGAGTGTGTCATCATTACCGGGAAGCACAACTTTGCCGCACCGCAGCTGAGCGTACAGGGGTTCCAAGTGCCAACGATACGAGCCATCAGGTACCTGGGCGTACAATTGGATACCAGACTGTCGTTCGTTGAACATGCTAACACAGTAGCTGCGGGAGCTAGGAGAGCGGCGGCTGCGATTGGGAGGTTGATGCCTAATGTGGGAGGGCCCTCGCAGGCAAAACGCAGGTTGCTCATGAGTGTGGTGCATAGCCGACTGCTCTATGGCGCTCAGATATGGGCCGATACCGTCCGTGACGTGAAGAAAGCGGAAAACTCGCTCCTGATGGCCCAGAGGGTCGCAGCTCTGAGAATAGCCAGGTGTTACCGTATGGTCTCCGACATGGCGGCGTTAGTACTCGCCAGGACGCCACCTGTATCCCTTCTGGCGCTGGAGAGGAAGAGAGTCGGCGAATCGAGGAAGGCAGGTGTCCTCGTAGCCAAATCAGTTGTAAGAGAGGAGACAATAAGGCAATGGCAAGTGCACTGGGACTCCGACGAAGGCGACCAAGACGACGTCAACATCGTTGACCAACATCCCACTATTACAGATTCGGNTCGGCACTGGATCTCACAGTTTGTAACGTGGGCTCCGTCCCCACATTCAGGCGGGTCAACGCCACGTCCGTAATTGATGTCACCTTTGCGCGATCCACGGATAACAGACCATTGGTGCATGACTGGTCTGTATTAGACCAGAGGTACTCCGGCAGCGACCACGAGTATATCACATACTCCGTTTTAAAATCTGAGTCACGCAGCCCAACAGGGGAAGTAGCTCGGCCAGGCGGATGGTCGGTGAAAAAACTGTCTCCGGTAGCCATCATGGAGCATTGGAATCGAACAGGAGCACCCCCCCATCATACCGCGGGACGCTACTACGGAGGAACACGTAGAGCGCCTCCAGAAATATCTGACTCAGGCTTGTGACGCTGCAATGCCGACCAGATCAGCCGTAAGAGGCAAGAGGGCAGTCCACTGGTGGAGTGAAGAAATTGCCGACCTACGCAGGGCGGCCATCGCTGCTCGCAGGAGTTATCAGCGCGTGGGTCGCAGAGCCAGCGCTGGTGGCCGCGAAGAGGCTTTCCACGTGTACAATCAGGCAAGGAAGCAACTGAGGCTAGCTATCAGGAAGGCACAGGAGGCATCGTGGAGAGAATTGTGCGAGTCAGTGGACAGTGACCCCTGGGGAGTACCATACAAGCTCGTCACCAAGCGGTTGGGTCGTCGGCTCCCCAACATCGAGGAACCTATGCTATCGAGCATTGCGAGAGGACTCTTCCCCGCAATAATAAATGTCGATTGGGATTTAGTCCCACTGGAGCCAAGCGCTCCCACAGTAATCATCGAACAACCAGGAGTTCCGATACCTCCCTTTACCCCAGACGAACTGTGGCAGGCAGTGAGGAAGCTGCCTCTGGGGAAGGCACCGGGTCCTGATTACATTCCCAACGAAGTTATCAAGTTAGCCCCGAAGAGAAGTCCCGAGACGTTCATGGAGACGTTCAACGCCTGCCTCATCAATGGTCACTTCCCGCGCAGATGGAAGCGCGCTAAGTTGGTCTTGCTGCGCAAGGGCATGGACAAGCCACCAGATCAGCCGTCGAGCTATAGACCCATCAGTCTACTGGATGGCAATGGCAAGCTACTGGAGCGGCTTCTTCTGAACCGCATTGAACAACACATCGTAAGAGTAGGAGCACTCAGCAACCTCCAATTTGGCTTTAGGCGCTTCAGGTCCACCACTGATGCAATTGATGAAGTAATGAACGTTGCGCGCGAAGCTGGAAGAGAGGCGGTCCAGAACAGACACCTCTGCGTGGTAGTGACACTTGATGTTAAAAACGCCTTTAACACGGCACCTTGGAGGCGGATCGGTGAGGCCCTACAGAGATCGTCTTTTCCAGAATACATCATTCGGATTCTAAGGTCCTACATGTCCGAGCGCAAACTACTGATAGGTTTGGACAGCAGTTCGAACGCGTCAAATCTTGAAGTGACATGCGGTGTTCCACAAGGGTCGGTCCTTGGGCCGACATTGTGAAACCTATTTTACGACGGAATCCTACGCCTACCGGT